AGAGGGCTCCACGGTCAAGACAAACATATTATTTCATATTTACAGAGCGCCTTAGCTTAAGGCGCTTTACGTAGTTTAAAAAGCGGTAACAAATGCATTGTTATTTAGATGGCAGGGACGCGCAAAGGGCCGGGGAATCAGTGGCCGTAACAGAGGGCACACGGGAGTCACGAAAGGGTACGGGAGGGATGGGAAGGAGTAGAGGGTCGAGGGGAGGGAAGAGGAAGGAAATGGAGAAGAGGTGAGGCTTTGAGAGAGGAAAGAAAAGAGGTGAAGGAGGGGGACTGCTGAATGTACAGGAGAAAGTGTATTCCAGTGGAGGGGTGAAAGGAGGAAGGATTGAACACAATATTTGGGGGCATGAGGGAGAAGGAGGGACAGCGAGAGACAGAGAAGATTGTGAACGAAGAGGACGAGGGGACATAAAACAGATGATAGGCTAGGAAGTGGCTTGTAGACCCCCCTTGCCAAATGTTTAAATGACTCGCAAATCACCTAACCGGCTAAATCCACGTAACAACGTCCCCTCCGATTCTGAAACCACTGCTGACTATAATTGTCTGTGAACAAAGCGCCTTTGCAATGGCCTTGCCCTATGAAGATGGCGCAAATACCAAAGTCATTATGACCAATACCATTTTAATTTTACACTACAATTGCGTTTTGCAATCCGACACAATCCTCAATTTAACGTGAAAATTTAAAATAATGTTACATTGCGTAAAATAATCCCAAACTAATCTAGGAAAGCATCTGTGAGTTCAATCTTGTTTATCGGGAGGGTCCTGCATTGGAATATGTTCACTCTCATAACATTTCGTGGGAGCTTCATCATAGCAAAGGCTCTGTTAGCTAACACTTAAGTCAGCCAAGTCTACAGGCGCCGCTCTCCAATTCAATGATGATGCCGTGGCGTAATGGTTCGCGCATTGGATCTGGAACCCCGAGGTTACCGGTTCGATTCCATCTCTGTTGTAGTACAGAGTTAGCCTGATAACTTTCACCTAAATTGTCTTATGGTTGTTATTGTTTGACTTGCATCCCACTAGGATTTTTGTCCGCAGCATTGAAATACGGTGTTTTTTCTGGAAGACTTTTGCTGTTTTTTTTTCCAGGATTTTTCTGTTGCGTGTAGTCACTTTAATATCTTCTTGGTTCTTTCGGTAAAGTCACGTAGAATGAGAATAAAACAATAAAACAAAATAAGACAATAAAATTCTCACGACGTTTCGGCCACAACACAAGTAGCCTTCTTCAGGTGAAGGAACAGAACTGTCGGGACGACAGTGCTTCAATGTAAGCGCTGTCGTCCCGACAGTTCTGTTCCTTCCTTGTTTTATTCTCATTCTACGTGACTTTACCGAAAGAACCAAGAAGATGAATCCTTGCAGTAACGAAAGCTTTAAATCGAAAAATTAACTTTAAGATGTTTCTTGTTCATGTCTTTGTTTTGTTGCGGTTCCAGCCGAGTCAAGAGCCGCATGGCTCACGGGGTTATACCTAATAAATGGAAACTGAAATCTCTCGGTATAGTAGTTAAATAATGGTGCAAGTTTCCTGAATTTGCCCCCCGCCACCGCCGCCTTTGTCGAACCAGCAGTTTAAATGCGTTACACCGCAGTCCGTCGACGTGGTGGTGGTGGTGGGGTAAAGTGTGGGTACTCGCACATCTTCCAAAGACGCCCAGCCACCCTTCGGGCGCCGTTCCGCTAGCAGGGGCGTGAGCAATCAATTTCTGGGCTGCACACTTAGCGTTTCCACCCCGCTGGGTTGCATTAAACGACGTTTAATGAAATAGTTCATTTAGTTCATTTATTTGGTATAGCCCTGTGAGCCATTCGGCTCTTGAATCGGGTGCAACCGCAACAAACAAAAACATGAACAAGAAAACATCTCAAAGTGATCATGTGACTGTGCAAACAGAAAATCCAGGAAAAAAAACATCAAAATATTCCGGAAATAGCACCGAACACCAACGCTGTGTGCAAAAATCCCAGTGGGATGCAAGTCAAACAAGAACAACAACCACAAGACAACTAAGATTAAGGCCATCAGTCTAACTCTGTACTACAATAAAAAAAACATGGCCAAAACAAAAAAAACGTTTTCGAAATCACCAAAATAAAAGCCATAAATGCAATGTAACAGTGAACATAGGGACTGTGACCGAATTTTTAACAATAAACTACATAAATAAATTATAACACCAAAATCTAGAGAAATATTTTAGGCCACTGAATAGCAGTGGCAGCTAGGGGTGTACAACTCCTCTAGAGCAGTTTTGAGTGAAGATCTCATAGGTAGTGATTCAAGTTGCAGTTTATTGGCAATAGCATTCCAGACCCTGGGGGCATCAATAGCAAAGGCCCTTCCTACGGTTTTTGTACGGCAATAGGGAATGTGAAGCTGGTAAATGAGCGAAGACCTGAGGTCAAATTTATTCTTTGAAACAGAGAGGGGATCCAGTAGGTAGTCTGCGGATTTTTTTTAAGTACATCGTGAATAAATAAGATCTGGTGCACAAGCCGTCGAACATTAAGAGATGTTAAGTTTGACCCAATGTAGAGATCACAGTGGTGAGTCCTATATGGGAAGTTCAATGCAAATCTTAAGGCCGAATGATAGATGGAATCAAGCTTCTTCAGTACAGTACTTGGGGGTGATTTATACACGATGTCACCGTAGTCAAGTAGAGGCAGTATGGTAGCTTTTATCAATTCCAAACGGAACATTGGGTGAAAGCAGTGCTTGTGTCGATACAGAAAACCAATTTTTATTTTTGTCTTTTTACCAATATAATCAATGTAATCTTCAAAATTAAGTTTTGAATCCAGGATGACCCCAAGATACTTATAGATCTTGACTTGCTCTATTTGATAATTATTCAAGGAATGTAATTGGGGAAAAATAACTTCCTGCTTTAGTCCCGGTGAGAAGCATAGCACCTTGGTTTTGGAGGTATTCAGGACTAGTTTAAGAGAAACTAGCTGATGTTGTAGTTTGTTGAAATCACCGTGGAGCTTAGCAATCACGTCATCCGGAGAGCGGCCAGCAGTAATCAGTATCGTGTCATCTGCAAAAAGATTTACCCTGGAATGATCCAGGTCAGTGCCCAACTCATTGACATAAAGAGAGAACAAGAGGGGGCCGAGGATGGAACCCTGTGGAACCCCTTTTGTTATCTTAACACTGTTTGACCTCCAACCATCTGTGAATACAGTTATGGTGCGAGAAAAGAGGTAATTTTTTAACCATTGTACTGTTTTCGGAAAAACCGAGGCAACTTAGTTTACTAAGCAGGGTGTTGTGGTCTACTGTATCAAAAGCTTTGGACAGGTCAAGAAAAAGACAGGCACAGTACTGCTTATTATCAAGGCTATTGTAAATTTGATTCAAAGAGTCTAATGCAGCAGATGTGGTGCTGTATTTTTTTCGGAACCCAGATTGTTTTAGATGTAGTAAATTGTTGGTGGACAGGAAACTGCTAATTTGGTAGTTCAAAATTTTTTCTAAAATTTTCATCAATGGGGACAAAATTGAGATAGGTCGGTAGTTATTGGGATCATCTTTAGGGCCCCCTTTGTGAAGTGGACAGACATATGAATGTTTCCATTCTAGAGGAACTGATGCTTCTTTGATGGACAGGTTGAAAATATGGGCTATAGGTTTGTATAATAGGTGACCAACAGTTAGTAGAGCAAAGACGGGAATACTATCTGCTCCGGTAGAGGAGGACTCTTTGAGGTAGGACAGTTGTTTCAGAACATTACTTTTGTGGATTGGTTGGAAACTAAATTCGTTTAATGTTTGGACAGGGGTGTAGGAATTTGCAGGAGCAAGGGTGACTCCCAATACACAATCAAAAAGACTACCAGCTTCAGAAAAATGAAGGTTAAAATTGTCAACTATTTTTTGGGGATCTGAAAAATATTCCCCATTTCGGTTAAGCTCAACGGGCAGATTGTCTGTTTTGGATGCCAATGTTCTACGATATGCGTTTGCAATTCACTGGGTTTCCAGGAGCAAGTGAAATAAATAACTCAACTTTATTCAATCACAGTGTGTGTAAGTTACGCAACGTTTACTATTCTCCCAATACGCAAATTGACTCTGGTCAGCGCTGCAAGAATAGATGCCCTGACCTGTCATGGCTCACGACCAACGCTGCCAACAATAGATCCCGTGCCAAGCTAGGTGCACTTGCACACAATGTAGACACGGTGAGTTTTCGCGTCATGCCCCCTCTTGTAAAAGAGTGTGTCGTTGGTTATTAAGAACCGTCCCTGTTGGTTGCTCAAGCAGAAGTATCCAGCCCTGCAGAAATACCAACATTTGGTGTCTGTGCCAGGCTAGGTGCATCACTTTGGAGAAATAAACCACGTGGGGTGGGGGGGGGGGCGAGGACTCGTTCAAGGGAGTTCAGGACGAGGCAGGCTCACGAATTATAACAGTGTCAACATTGCAACAAAACATTGGAGTTGTAATTAAAAGTATTAACCTAATTGCAAGGCCACGTAAAGTCGCAAACCCATTCATTCACTCACCGATCAGAGCCCTTGATGGCCGTGTTAGACTTTATTCTTAGGGGTTTGGCGAACATGACGAGCTTCGGCCACTGTGTGCGAAATAGTTACGAGCGTAGTGACAATAACAGCGTTGTTGTTATTTGTCGAAAGTGGTAGAAGTTAAAAAAACTAAAGTGAGCGAACGTAGCACACACTAGCCTATCAGGGCCCCATCGGCACAGCCAAATGTACGGTCGGTTTCCCGGTCCGGGTAAAAAAAAAATGGTTCCGGGCATTTTCATTGCAGTTCTTGGTAAAAACCGACTTTGATTTATTCGTCAGCAACAGGTGCGTGCCGCCAAATAAAATGTTAGGGGAATACAAATGACAATTCGGGTTGTGATATGATTAACGTCTAAGACGTTCGCCGGTCGGTTTTTTGTGTTGGTCGGAACTTAAGTCGTGGGCTCATGTGGTTGCATTGGGGAGGGGACACGCATTTCCGGTGGCGTCACCTGCACGTGGATCATCCTCCGTCTTCGCTCGTCGCGTTGAAGGTGCGAGCTACCGCTGACATCAACAAGACAAACCAGAGATATCCCCCGGGATAAACGATCTTAACTGCTCCTCGCACGTATGTATGTGCGCAGAATGCGTCGAGCTCTCGTTTTGTTCGCCTTGGCGTTGAGCGGTCCGTGTGGCTTTTAGCTGGTACAACCCGTGCTAGGCGACGTTCAGGATGGGTTTGGGCCTGACCTTTATTTGTGTGCTTTATTTGGCAAAGTTACTATATATTTGATTGTTGGTACCGGACTGTTCTATTCTCCCGTATGGCAATATGTTCAGAGATGTGTTTTGTCTACGTAGAGATAATTCGTGTAGTTTTGGTTTTCCTCCGCTGAAGGAGCGCACACTGCACGGCGGTCCAGATGTCTTGTGACCGCCCTTTAATTATCTAAAACAATTTGTTTAAAGTAAGGTTTATTTAAAACAGATATGGAGATGCAAATGAATACAATAAGTTTGCGGTCAATTTATTGGGGGAGGGGGGGGGTCACAAGACACATGGACCACCCTGTACAGTACAGTGGTTAACTGTACTGTACGGTCCATATTGTTGGATTCCATGACGACAATCGCACAATCTCGTCGCTCGACTTGAATGCATCTCGATGGCCGTACGGATCTATCCAGACAATCGGTCAATGTTAAATACCGGTCTGACACAACACGGCATGCGCCAAGATCTCGGAAACGAAGCAAAATTCTTCAGCCTGGACAGTGCTTGCACGTGCGAACGGCAAGCATATACCGGTAGTGCGGGTTTACGTTGTGGAGAATCGGGCAAGCGGATAAACTTTCATCGTGCGGTGTTTCTATGCTCCCACTCCTTTCGACACGTGGTGGCCGGCGTGGTGAAGTAAATAATCAAATAACCCACACGACCCGCACGGCGAGGCCCGCATCCAGCAGTGGATTAAGACAAAAATATGTTCCTGTACATTGTGACCGACAAGTATCATACCTGTCAACCCCTTATCAGTGCCTACCTTATTACAGGACCAATTCAGACCGTATTGGTCACCCCGTGTCCGTATAAATCTCAACGTTCATTTTACAAAGTCCTATCGCCACAAGGGAGAAACACAAATAGACACAAAACAAATGTGGCTCGTGTTGAAACGGCTGTACGCTGTATGGACCTGAAAACTAAATTTCCCTGGGCAAGAATGCGATGTAAACCGTATGGGTTTACAGGTATGAAGTGTTGGCGTGCAACGATTGAGTCAACCAGTGATTCGAGTTTGCCATTTGATTCGGGAATCGGTTGTCTTAATTTTCACTGTCTCAAGTTTCTCTAGTTTCGCACCTCCGATTACCACGGTTGACTACGTGCTTTGCGAAAGAAGTTCAATATAATGCACATAGACAGTTCTCTTGCGTTATCGGCATGATACATGGCATCTTTTGCACACGTCGTTAAAATATTTCGCGTAAATTCTAGATTTAAAGCTTTCGTGACTGCAAGGATCCGTACTCTTTGGTTCTATTCGGTAAAGTCACGTAGGTAAAAAATAAAACAACAAAAATCACGACGTTTCGGCCACAACACAAGCGGCCTTCATCAGGTGAAGGGATCAGGCTGTCTCGAGGACAGCGTTGGAGTGAAACGCAGCCACGCTCAGACCGCGGACCTTTAAGCTGTGTGCGAGGAAACAAGATGCCTTGACAAAGGTATTAGCATAAAAATTAGCATTTGATTGGCCGACTTAGCATAGAGGTGGTGTACATGCGGGTGGACTTGCCGTTTGGCGCGGGGGGGGGGGGGGAGTTTCCCTATTGATGGTGTGAAAAGGGAATTTTTAAGAGTTTGGGGCACCACTGCTTGAAAAATATACTGTACCATTGAAAATTAATGTTTAGTTCGATTTAGAACATCTTTCCAATGGTTGCTTAATTTGAAACCATCTTCTCGGTTGAAATTGTGTTTGTAGATCTGAATTGCCTCGTGAACACGTGGGTTTGTAAAGAACCTTGGTATCGGAGAAAATTATATCGTGATCACCCACGTACGCATTCTGTTGTAACAGTGGCTGATCAATGTTACAACGCTGTGGGTGATCACGATATAATTTTCTCCGATACCAAGGTTCTTTGCAAACCCACGGGTTTTTATCAGAGATTTGTTCATGAAGCAATTCAGATCTACAAACACAGACACAATTTCAACCGAGAAGATGGTTTCAAATTAAGCAACCATTGGAAAGATGTTCTAAATCGAACTAAACATAAATTTTCACTGGTACAGTATATTTTTCAAGTAGTGGTACCCCAAACTCTTAAAAATTCCCTTTTCACACCATCAATAGGTAAACTTCCCCCCCCCCCCCCCCGCGCCAAACGGCAAGTCCACCCGCATGTACACCACCTCTATGCTAAGTCGGCCAATCAAATGCTAATTTTTATGCTAATTCCTTTGTCAAGGCACCTTGTTTCCTCGCACACAGCTTAAAGGTCCGTGGTCTGAGCGTGGCTGTGTTTCACTCCAGCGCTGTCCTCGAGACAGCCTGATCCCTTCACCTGATGAAGGCCGCTTGTGTTGTGGCCGAAACGTCGTGATTTTTGTTTTATTTTTTACCTACGTGACTTTACCGAATAGAACCAAAGAGTATTTCGCGTACATTTAACTGTTGGGTCACACAGAGGTGATCACCAAATATGAAGTCACGAGCTGTTTGTGAACCACGTGCCTATCTCTGTGTATCTTCATTTTGGTTGCTGTAAATGTCCACATAAGCCACTTCGTAGAGCTATCATTTGTGGCCAGGTCGCTTCTGAAAAAGAGTTAATAGCTTAGTAGGCTTTACCGAGTAAATACAATAGGGGACCATCCATTTAGTACGCACGGAGGGGGGTTAACCCAAATGTGTACGCTTGCGCATGGGGGGGGGTCTACTGACAATGTCCACATAGGAAACGGGGGGGGGGGGGTGAAGCCTCGATAATAATTTGTCTACATTGGCCTTCAAATGAGTTAGTCCGGCGGTGGACTATCTGTTTGCTTAAACACGTTAATATTATTAATCCATGATCGTTTCTGCGTGGATTAAATATCGGTCGTTCTATAGGATTCGGGCGGGGGGGGGGGGGGTGTGAAAAGTCCGCGTGCGTACAGGGGGGTCAAGTTTTGACAGATTTTTGCGTCGGTACTAAATGGATGGCCCCAAGTTTAGTTTACTCTGTGAGTTTGTTGTAACAGCTCTCCCTACTGGACATCTGTGAAAGAGCTTCGTAGCTCATTGGATTCCTCTTCCAGTTCTAAAGATTCTGATGTCCTCAGGGAGCAAACAGCACATCGTCGAAACACCAGAGCCCATAAAAAAAAAGAACCTATAAATCAACGGATAGTTACTTGCCTCTTCACCACCGCATCTACTGGCCAAATCATAATCCACTGCTGGATGAAGGCTTTAATCACAAGCATTGAACGATTACGTACTATTCAGCTTATCACTTTTACATTGCTACGACCATGGTTACTGTTCCCGTGAACTTCACTCGTTGATTCATCCATGTTGAGGACTCGGGGTCTACTAGATTGTTGGTGTTTTAGGCCTTCCGACTTCGCCAACTGAAATAAAAGTGTGTAAAAAAAAAAACCCCTATTCTATTCGCCCTCCCCCATCACCAAGGCCCGCACACGCACACCATGGCCAAGAGCATCCGCAGCAAGTGGAGGCGCAAGATGCGTGCCGAAAAACGCAAGAAGAACGCCCCCAAGGAGATGGCGCGGCTCAAGGCGATCCTGGGCACGGACGCTAGCGGCGACACTCGCATGGATGAGGTGAAGGACGTGGTGACGATGGTGCCCGTGGAGAAGCTCAAGAGGGCGACGACGACCACCACGTCGACCGCGTCGACCACAAAGGCAGACGTGGAGATTAAGGGGGACAATGGTGAGGAAGCCACTTGTTGCCGGGGATCGTTGCGTTCAGTTAGAACCAATTTGGTTCGCATGACCCGCAGCCGCTTGGGGGCGCTACACCCTGACATTTTACAAAATGTTGTACTCAATTGAATAACGACTCGTACCATGGTAAAACACTGAATCACGTGAAGAAATTGTTACAACTGATAATGCTGCTGTATTTAGGATAATAGAACGGACAAATAGAAAATACAAATACGATGGGTAAAAACTGGACCAATAAGTCCCTGAAACAAGCACCCAAACATTGACCAAATAGCTTTGGGAGGGGTTGAATTATTATATGGCTAGTTAAATTTATGTGTATTCAGTCATAACATGTAAAAAGGATAACAGGGATATTTGGGCCAGGTTACAATGTTTTATAACCATTCTACAATCAGCTTGGGTGTCCTTGTGCATGCATCAAATCTGTCTCGTGCTTTGAAGGCAGTACTTGGTGGAATATGCAGATGTGAACGTTCTAAACCTGCTGGGGTGTGATATGGGTAGTAGATGGCACGTGTTCAGAATCCCATCTGCGTTTTTAAAAGTTATCCTTTTAGGCAAGTGTTTTATTTGGGTTCTCCAAATTTCATGAAATGTAAATGTCCCGAGACTCGGCAATTTTTTTTCCTGGAAAATATATCACATTTAATGAATATGCCTTTGTGATACTGGAGGTGGCCATTTGCGAATACAGAAATGTATTCTTGATATCCTGAAATAACTCTTGGCCTGTGTGGGTTTACATTTTCCGATCGTGCCAATAACTGGAATTGGCCAATGCTTAGTTTGGGTCTAATTCGGAACACACACACACACCCAAGTGAAACAACATGGCACTAACTTAAAGCTCTGTGGTGTTATGGACACATTTTATGCAATAAGGCATGTGACGTTCACTAAAAGCTCGTCTAAAGTCCTGTGAACACTGCCGTAAATATTGACCAGTCTGACTGGGGCCCATGCAACCTGCAGGAGGATGGGCCTGGGTGGGGGGTGGCCCCCCAACAGACTGGTCAAGTAAATCTTTACGATCCACTCGCACAGCAGTGCATTTAAGCACTAAAAAACTAACAGCGTATAATCACTAACACACATTACAACTAATTACTAATCTACAACTCATTACTAATCATAACCAATGACTGATTACTAATCGATTATATAATTACAATACCCCCCCTCCGCCTCTAATCACTGCACCTGATATGAGTTAAGTGATGACGTCACCCTGCTGCTCTATATAAAACCGGGAGCAAGCGAGGGCTTTACCATTCTGGTGAATTGCCCGATGATGCTGGATGTAATTACCAGCGAAACGTCGTACTCAAACTGTAAATGTTGTGGATTCACTCTTCAACACACTGGTGGGCTAAAGTAGTGAATTATTTGTCTTTTGTCAACGTGACACTTTTTTTTTGCTGATTGGCCGTGTCGGGTGGTGGAGGGTTACGACACATTTATAAATAACGCGATCTAACCCAAAAACCTTCATTGACTAAAAAACCACAGTACTAATGTAATTAGAACCATGTGTATATGTCCGTACGTAATAGATGTGTGTAGTGCACGTGTTTTACCGTCAAAAGTATTATTGTAGAGTACTGTAAAAAGAACGAGAACGACTTTGCTGTACTTGAGGACTTTCAATAAGTCGAATAAGAGCGGCTTTACGCGGCTTTCACTTAAAACTTTCACTCTACATACCTTTTTTGACGATCCCGCGATGTAACTTTAATGTGAATGAATGAAAGTGTATTTAAACTTTAGTTGTGATATTTACATTCACTTATTAATCACTGAAAGAACTGTTAGGATTATTTGGAAGGTCTTATCTTAAGGGGTCTTAGGAAGTGGTGGGGACCCTCCCCTGGGGGCTCTGGGGTGTCAACCTCCGGTCACGGGGGTTGGAAGGCTCTTACCTTAAGGGGTCTTATGGAGGGGGAGGTCCCCCTCAGCCCCCACCCATCGGCCCGTGAGCATGGTGGCAGATCAGCTGCCCACAGCCCTGTATTACGGCGCAACATCACCTGGGGGTGGTGTACATGTGTGTGAGGGGCGCACCCCTGGTTGGCTGCTTGCTCGCGGTCACGCGACGTACTTAAACCAATCCGTGCCGCGTTAATCACACTGACAGAATGACAGACCTGGGTGTTTATATATATTTATGATCAGTACATGATTGTACACTGGTATCTTATTACTAGCCTTTTGCCCGTCCAAGGACGGGTGTATTGCAGTAAATCTGAAACTTGCAAGCGAAAAGCAGACCGCGACGTGATATTCGTTGCATACATCCGTGTATAATTTGTAAGGGCGCGGTGACATAGACATAATTTCATTTTAAGGTTATAATCCCATTTGGAGGATGTCACCTGCTCATGAATATTAATGAGGGGGGCTGGTCGATGTGGAGTGACGTCACGAGCGTTAAGGACAGACATTCCTGGGTGAGTAGGTGTGTGGCCAAATCTAGTGTTGCATACAATGAAACAGTATTGATTACTAAAATGAGTAAAACCATACTTAAACTGAGGGTAATGTGTTGTGTAAAATATCCTAAAACTCAACCCAGTGACTATGCATGTTCAAAGTTGTATGTTTTGGGGGGGGGGGTCGATATTAAATGTCTACATAACCAACAATGGGCAAATTTCCAAGTCATCATGATATGGCAGTTATCAAGATGTGAATATGGCTGTACATAGTTTTTAAATTAGAAATTCTAGAACATGCAAGGTCATATTGCCCTCACTGGAGCCGTGCGAGGTTAACACATTGCTAAAACAAAAACTTTCGTTTTGCAAAACAAATCGACAAACTGCTTGATGGTACACATGGAGCAACTTGCAAGTTAACAATGTTAACATTGTTTTCGCAGCTGAAGAGACCCAAAGTATGGATTTGGACAGCAAGAGGAAGAAGTCCACCTACCTAAACGAGCATGGACAATACCCCAAGTGGATGAACCCACGGCAGTGTAAGCGCATCAGGGCAAAGAGGCTTCGAAAAAATGGCAAGTGTAAAGGCATTGCCAGCAAGCACTCCAAGGGTCTGGCGTGGTGATTCAGAAGGCCTCTTCCCCACCTGTTTGTCCCAGATTGCCATAGGCAGTGTAAAGGTGTAAAGATAATTTCCCCCCCCCCCCCCTTATTCCATCACAGATTAAACATTTGGGGAGACGAATGTGAAATTATCAGCTGTACAGGCCCTTGTACACCTAATTCATTTCCACAATTGCTGAAAAGATGTGATGGTGTGTGTGTGCTTGTGTTCAATATATTGTGAAAAGGTTTAATAAAAAAATGTATTGCACAACTTTCAGCCTTTATTACATTGAACTTTATTTACTGGATGCCATAAGCAATGACAGTTGCACAGCAAGTTATCTACAAAGCAATGTTTTCATTTGAAGGTAAATGCAGCAATGATTCTACATTCAAATTATGCATTCTTATGTAGCAATACAATTAACTAATAAAAAAATGCAGAACAAGAGTTTGTATAGTGAATAAAGGGTTTTATAGTGAAAAGGTGGCCGAATGAATAAGCGTCCCATCCCTTTGGATTTTGTCTCGTTTAAGCAACATTCATCATAGTAAAGAATAACAATACAGAAAATCTGAATGCATCCATGTGAAGATTGACAAAACACTTGGTTGCAATTAAATTTGACTAGCTAAATTATTTGCTTTCTTTAGAGGTGCCATGTCCCTTTGGATCAAACCCACACGGGGTGTTTTAATTAAAACTTCAAACCAGCTAATAAAGAAAACAGAATTACATTTTACAGTATCGACGCTTCCACAAGACATCTTTCTCTCCCGACTGTACAGTATCAACGGAGCTCTTGCGATGACGGTGGTTTGTCTACAACCAAAACAACAAAATGCGTTAAAGTGCAGAAAGCCAAAATGAGCCTTTAAAGGATACACAGCCAGGGGGGTGGGGGAATGCAGCAGGAGGGAGTTGCCAAGTACAAGAGGGGGGAGGCAACTACTCCCCGGAGCGGCAGCAAGAGCGAGTGCTGCACTGCAGGTTCTGACATCCGTTGGCCGTCTCTGCTCGCGGGCCTAGAAAACAAAAAAACATTAGAAATAAAAAAAACCCCTCCCAACATTTACGAGAGAGAATATGTATCCACGCGCACTTCTCCAGACGAATATTATTGAGATGGTTTCCGTAGCACAGTAATAATGCAGTCGCGTTTTAAAAGTATCGACAGAGCTTGTCATTATTGACTTGAGCACTTCCAGCGCTGCCAACGCAATTTGTTTCTGCACAACCCTGAAATAAAACATAAGTTTAGTGAAACCCTTTGTAGACTAAAGGGGTCAAAAAGCACCACACCAACAGAATTGCAGAATAAGACCCGAGTTTTAAAACACTCGTACGTTTAAACAAGCACAAATTATGAGGTCACTGCAGATCTGTTCAAATAAACGCAAGTCATACTCTGGAGTACAGATGTTTAACATCAACCGCACGAGCTTAGATTATTAAATTATTAAGCGTTACGCAAGTTGGGAATGCTCCACATTGCTGTTAAGTTGAAAACCAAACAGCTCTCGGTCTCCCTTTGAGCTTGACCACAGACGCTGGCAACTTGGTGCCATTTCCCAGCATCCGTGGAGTTTGCATTTCACAGATGCACTAAGCTGGGAAATGCCCCAACCATTGCATCAGTGCAATGCTATGCAAAAGTAAGCATTGCTAAAGGAAGCCCAATGATTAAGGCGAACGATTACGAAAAGGCAGTTTTTTTCACGAGTTCCTATGTTAATCCTATTATTTTGCAATGTTATTACTTTGATCTGTAATGCATCTTTACAAGGTGGTTTGCATGTTGTACTCATGTGGAAAGGTGTTGTGAATGGAGAGGGGGAGTGCACAACACCCGTTAACTATATTCGGCACTATTAAGAATATAATTTCAAATGGCTTTACCCTATCTGGCAAAAATACAGGTGTAAAGATGTTCAAACTCCAGACACCTTTTAGAAGGCATCACGCCTGCATTAACCACACATTCTTGTGGTAAAACATAGTAATTGATGTCACTCAAAGTTTGCCCATCTTTTAAAGTATATAAAGTATACATACATGATTAGCTTACATACTTAACTCTTTCCTGAAGGCCAGTCAGCAGATCTCCCTTCTGATGACTATAAAAAAGCCTCTTTATTTAAACAAAAGATAATACTTGCACTAATTTGTAAACACATTGTCAATGTTCCTGTTCTCCATCTCAAACTGGGGTTATAGCTAATGCTGCCCTGCCCCCTGCCCTCCACACCCCCCTCTCTCTGCACGACATGGGTATGCAAACTTATAATCCTCACCTGTGATGAAGTCACAGTAGTAGAAGTGCTCATCATTAAGCATGGGACACATGGAAACGAGCTCCTGCAGCCCTGGGCCTGTCAGGTGGCGGCACCCAGATAGGTCCAGGTGCTCCAACAGCGGCAGTCCCCCACGCATCGCCAGCGACCTGCGGGGCGTGCACACCGCTTTTGTAGGTACCGGGCAACGGCAAATACGACGATTGCCAAGAGCAAAGAGACTAGAGGTGTGTGTGTAACGGATGCATCGCTTCGCCAATGGAAAATTATTTGTTTTCCTTCGGGCTGGTTTTTACAGGTTTGGGTAGCTTAGCACAAAGTGTGGTAAGCTCCTCTGACAGCAGCAGAACCTTTAAAATATTGTTTCTTAGGGTATCTGGGCATTTCTGAGGCCATACTCCTGATGAAGGCTAGAGGGTTTGATGCTGGTCACACTGGGAATTAAACGTGTCTGGTTATTGTCCCCATACAGAGGCGCACACAAACATGAATGAGGAACGCTTTTAAAGCAATGCTTGAATCGGTTCGCATTACAATCCGATTCATATGTTCACGATACATGCATGAATATGCCATTTTGGTTGTTTGACCAAACTTAACCACACTGGTCAGTTCAAAGTTGATCCAAAAAAAGGGGGTCATCCAGAACCAGTTCAGATAACATTAATCACCGATGTTGAGCTGTGACCAGGCATCAAATTCAGGTTACTGGGTAAATAGTGTATTACGCTAACCATTGCAAAACCTCAAATTACTTGTATGCAAACGTCATTTAGGCAAATGGAGAAAAGCTGCACCTCAAACAAGACTACACTTAAGAGATAGACCTAACCGTTTTTTGTAACCATACACATGGGTAACCAATGAAGCAAGTACATTGTACGGAGTCTATTATTATGCAATTATGATGGGGAAAACTATACAGTAAAAGCTTGGATTGCGTGCATAATTCGTTCCGGAAACGTGTTTGTAATCCAAAGCACTCGTATATCAGTTGTGATCACGTGACGCTCGGCAAAGCGTATATACGTACTACTCGCATTGCAAGACCTCGCTCGTTTATCAAATTAATATTTATTTTAAATTTTTGCTCGTCTTGCAAAACACTCGCAGACCAAGTTAGGCGCAATCCAAGGTTTTACTGTAAATACAAACGAGACCATAAATACAAGCCAAAATTTAAATCGGGAATTAAATCGCGACCCTAAATTGTGTCAATCGAATCACTGCTCACGAGTGGGGATACATTACATCCATAAATGGTACGGACCTTAGCCCTTCATCCGTTACGCGGCGACATCCAGACAAGCTCAGGAACTCGAGAACCCTGCCAGATGTCTCGGCGTCACTCGTGAAAATGTCCTTAGTTTCCCCCGAGGTGGCTTTCAGCACAAGGCCTGCGAGGGACTGCACCACTGTTGCGGAGCGGCAGATTTTTGAGGCTTTGCACGTAACGTGACCACAATGTCCCGAAGATTGTCCAGCAGGCCTCAGCGGGCACTGCTCTGTCCTTTGGTCACACAAAGTGCACAGCTGCACGCATCCGAGTGGCATGCCCTTCATCCCCATGGCCATCTCCTCAATGTCCAGTAGATTGACGGCCGTCAATGCCCACAGTGGTAAGGTGGAGCTTTGGCTGGTGAAGGACGTGCAGTTGCTGATCTCCTTCTCCCCCTCGTTGTTGGGTGGGAGAGGGCAGCTGTTGTTGACCTCCTCCAGCTCCACCATGACCTTGCGGGGCCCAGGGTCGCTGCCGAACGGCTTGGAGGGACTCAGGGTGCCCATGGCCATCGAGATGCGGTGCAGGGCCACATCCGTTATCATGTCGCAGCCCGACAGGTCCAGGTGCTTCAGGTGCTTCAGTGTGGCACCAGCGGTCAGACTGCTGGCAGAATCCCAACAAAAAATGTCATTAAATCCATTGTTGCCCCCCTTTGTCAATCCACTGCTGGATGAAGGCCTTCCCACACCTTGTCAGCCATGTGGATTGTATGACCATGCTGCACCACACTGATGTGCATGGAATGGAGAATGCCCAGGACTGGTTCAGATATCACTCCCCACTGAAGCTAACCGTGGCCAGGAATTGAACTAAGGTCATCATATTTGTTGGCCAATACGTCTAAACCACTGCACCATGGCTCCATCCGTAATAAAACTGCACTGAGAAAATGTAATGTTAGCTTTTCTTTTAACTAGACACCAAGGTAGAGATAACACAAATTTGCAGTGTTATCCAATCGAACAAAAATATTGGCAAGTGATTTTCACCTATTATATATAAAAAAATCATCAACCACTAGGCCTTCTAACCTATTGTTATCCATTCAATAGCATTTGATAACGAGCAAACAATTTAACACGTAGGCTTTCGCAACCAATATCCATAAGAGGTTTTTGGGTTAGATCGCCTAAATATATAAATGTGTCGTTAAAACCCGCCACCACCCGACACAGCCAACTAGTAAGGGTTGTCACGTAAACAGAACGTGGCCAATTCGTCACTAGTACAGCACACCGGTGTGTTGGAGAGCCAAGCCACAACATTTACAAACTGAGTACGACGTTTCACCAGTAATTACAACTAGCTTCATCAGGCGACAGCCAGATATGTGGAGGAGTCTTACTGTTTCGTTCCTTAGAGGCGTAGAGATGTTCAAACTGTTGTGATGCCCCGTGAGGACTATGATAATAAAATCAAAGATTTACTCGAAGGTACCTACCTTAAAATTAAATGAGACCCAAACAGCACCTTGGAACGTAAAACAACGGCAATCATTGCCAAGTCATCAATTCCCAAGGAAGAGCAATACCTGATCAAACCAAGGGCATCTAAACCACCAAGACTTTATGGGCTACAAAAAATGAACAAACCTGATGTCCCATTAAGACCCATAATTAGTACAATATGCTCTACCACGTACAAATTAGCACAATACGTAACGAAACAAATACAGCCTTACATCGGTAGGACCT